GGCCATATACATAAAAATGGTATCAAATGAAAACACTCATGGGATGTCTGCTGAAGTGTCAGAATGAACATTTATTGTACAGTGTAAGAGACAACAGAACTAGAACATGAAAAAAACAATCTCCTCCCAAAGAGAACCAGTTTTCAAAGTGAATATCAGCTTGGAAACATAACATAGTATCCCAAAACCTCTATCAATCAGTACCCCTATCTATGGGAATGAGTCAAAGCTTGGAGGGGGAGACAGTGCAATGCTGCACAAGTTATAATACTTTAATGTCAAGGCGGAAATGTGGAACTGTAGATGGTGGTCTATGGTGCTATTTGACTTCATTAATGTACCAGGTTGTAACACAAATTATATTTAATTGACATATCACTATAGTTATTAATTCCATCCTAACATAACTGCTCTCTCACTTCTTTAGGGTTAGGGGTTAGTAACTAGTTAGTAGTAATAACTATGTTATAGTCGTATGGCAAAGGTATGTTTTCCCCCATCAAAGCAGTGGCACTCAGGTAGGCAGCCAACAGAAGGCACCCAGGGACCATGTCCATGTGCTCAGTCTGAGTCCTGGTCAGGGACACAAAAGAAGAATTTACTGTTTTGATAATGAATACCTTCCCAATACAAAACATGCATGCATGCATCCAAGGGCACAATATAAATCGAATCTACAAAACAGGAAAAACAATGTCATGCCAAATAATCTGAAACAATATAGTTGCATATAATGTGGCAAAACTCAATAATAATGATATGAGTACCTGAGTATTCTTGCACCAAGCTGCACAGGCACACCCACATGCCCCACTGCAAAATATTCCACTTTTTCGACATCGACACTGCCTGGTACTGCACTGACTTCCACTTTCCTTGCATCCACATATCGTCAGCTCCAAGCACCTGGCCTGTACAGGTTCTTTGGTTAGAAGCTGGGGGACAAGCATTCCATCCTTCATGTGCCAACCACAACTGGTTGGTGAGGGCAACTGTGGATGGGTCACTAGTGACTGTTTCCAAACTTTTGTTTGATAGTGGGCCCTCATGAAGTGCAGAGACAAGGCATCCTGAGTTGATGGTAAAGTATCCACATTGGCTTTCACTTTCTGAAACAGGGAACATCATGGATTGAAGTGTCGTTGGATCATACAGTTTGCAGACAAACTGTTCTGCTGAGGATAGAATAGCTGGACTTGGTACTTCATCCTCACCAAAGTTGTGGAGAAGATGAGGGCACTGCTGGGACACTTTCCACGCCGTCCTGTTGCCTATTCAACAGTCTGGTATAAGTGTCACATCCAGTGATCATGGCATGAAATGCCAACAGACCATCCAGAATCTCATTTGACATTTTAATATCATGCACTTTAATGTAGCGTGGTTTCTTGGCAGTTCCTGCTTTCATCCAAATGTCTGGGCTCAACAGGTTTGCAAACACAAGAAGCAACAACAGTACGTCTGTGTCTCTGCACTGAATGATGAGCTTCTCATACCCTTTGAGATGGGTATGAGATTCAGGGCCCTGAATGAGTATTTTTATTATCTTTGTCTTTGTATGTTGCCGTTGTAATGACCTCAAATAATTATTTAATTTGTTTCATTTCTTTGTTTATTGTAGATAATTTGCACTAATATAATGTAAAGGGGATAAATATAGAAAGCCTCAGAAAATATGTATACTGTTGGGGGCACTGTGAGAAGAAAAGACTTGTGAGTAAAAAAGGGAGAGAAGAAGCGCAGTTAACGCATGTTGTTGTTCATGTTAAAACCAAGGGGGTAATCCATCAGCCATCATTCCATTGACTCCCATTCATTTTGGCATCACTTTGACAGCGAATAACTTTACATCTGAGGCGTCCAAAGACTCCATTTATCCATTATTTATTTCTAAAGAAACACGACAATGTATAAAAGGCTCCATTACCTTGTATCTTACGTTAAGGCCCCGTAGAAGCAGTTTTTGTAAAAATAGGCTAACGATTGCGTCATAACGAATCGACTCTCCATCGCACAGTAGAGAAATTACCGTATAGACAGGAGGAGAAGCTCGCAGGCAATCAGGGGGACATGGAGGCATAAAGTCCGATAAAGTCAAGGGAGAAGCCCATAGAGAGTCATAAAGTTGATGCTGCTGCTAGCTCATGGACAGCTAATACTCCAGTCCCTTCAGGATTTCACGATTTTTGTGTGTGATTTTTGCGATCAAAACGACTGATTTTGTGGTGGTAATTTCCAGAAATTTGTGAAAAAATTTGCGATTTTTATATTTTATAATTAGGACATCTCATTTACCATGATAGTATTATGTCAGATGCACAATAGTCATACATGACACAAATGACAAACAAATTGCATAAAGCTTGTTTATTTGGTCTAATCAAATTCTTTTTTTTAAATTGTGCAGTAGCCTATTGTTGTTGCTTGCTTGAATAACATTAACAACACTGACAACAGCAGGTAAATTAGGTTACTGTCACTTTAAGACCTACTACAGTAATGACAAACGTCCCAATCAGTTATTACTGATTGTTTTACGTAAATACTTGCCAAGATTAATATTTTGAAGTAATTGTAGCTTTGTGTATTTGTTCAAGCGCTATAAAGAGAATTCAGTATTCTAACTAGGATGACAGGCGGTGACACGCAGTCAGTCAGTCAGTCACACACACACACACACACACACGCTTGCAGTCAGAGACAGACTGTCACTCGACTGGCTGAAATTAGTTCTCTTTCACGGTATGCTGCGCTTTTAAGAATTCTTTTTAGTACCATCGAGCATATCATACTTTTTGTTATGTCATTCAATCATGTTAAATGCGTTAATAAGTTTGCCGTATCCCAATGAAAACATGGGCGGTTATGTGAGAGGGCAGGAGAGAAGCATTTTCTTTCGCCATGTTTCTGACAGACCGCTCACAGACATCACGCGGCGTGCGCAACATCTGTATCCACGTAAAAATGCATTGAAACTTTAACTAGATACATTTCAATTGGGTGATTATAATTTAATGTTTTATGAGGTCATTTTTTGAATTTTTGTGATTATTTTGCGGTTAAATTAGGAATTATGCAGGATCGCAAAAAAATGCGACATTTTGTTGATTTTGCGTTGTATTCAGCGATCGCAGAATCGCGAAAAACTGGAGGGACTGATACTCACTCTCTCTGTCTCTGTGAGATTCGGAAGGGAATTATTCAGATTTCACTTGGCACAGCTAGAAGACATACAGGTTTGCTCACGTGACAGGCTCAGTTTGAGCTTGCGCAGTACGCCTGGCGATCAGCTTTTAACGGGCTACAATTTTCTCCGTTGAAATCAATGGGGTCGCTGTGTCCATTTCTTTATTCTATGGTTAAAACTTTCAGCCCCAAAATCTGTCGCAGAAAACAAAAGAGAAAAACAAGCGGGGCAAATAAATCTACAGAAAAAAAAGGTTGTCATTGTTACTGTCCAAGGGGGCAACACCTATCTAATAGAAATCCTGCATCTTGGACAAGCAGTGTAAGAGTAAGATCGCTTCTGACCAAGGGGGTAATCCATTAGCCGGAAGTTGAAGCCTCGCGGGAGCCGCCATTGTAGCAGACCATCACCTGCTGTTAGCATCCCATTGACTCCCATTCATTTTGGCGTCACTTTGACAGCGAATAACTTTACATCGGAGGCATCCAAAGACTTCATTTGTCCATTATTTATTTCTAAAGAAACACGACAATGTATAAAATGTTCCATTACTTTGTATCTTACGTTACGGCCCGCAGAAGCCGTTTTTTTTTAAAAATAGGCTAAAGATTGCGTCATAACCACGGGACTTTCTGTCGCACAATAGAGACATTACCGTATAGACAGGAGGAGAAGCTCGCTGGCAATCTTTAACTGTCTATGAGGCAATCGGGGGGACATGGAGGCACAAAGTCAAGGTAGAAGCCCATAAATAGAGAGTCTATAAATGCAATGGGACAAAATATTTCAACAACGTTTTTGAGGAATTAGGTGATTCAGATTTGGCTTGGCACAGCTACTAGAAGATTTTCAACTGCCAGACTGTCGTCACGCTCAGTTTAAGCCTGCGCAGTCGCTCAGACATCAGACAGGAAGTGCAATAATCGGGCTTCAGTCTTCTCCGTTGAAATCAATGGGATCGCTCTGTCCATTTCTTTTACTGTCTATGCTTCTGACACTAGGTGGTGCTGCTGAGTGGTTGCACACTTCCGCATTACTAGGACTGCATTTTTAGGACCCGAGTTTTTTTTTTTTTTTTTTTTTTTTGCAGTTTATAGTATTTTATAGCACTTACTATTCAGTTCTATGTCTGTATTAATGGTTTAGTTGTTTAATTGTATACATTTAATTGATATAGGCTAGCCTTAACCAACCCTAAACATAGGGTTTAGGCCTACTATTGGTAAACCTCTTTAAATATTTAACCTTCGTTTCAATATGTGAACAACTGGTTTTAAATTAGCTTTTCTTGAAAAGAAAGACTATTTTCTGTGTCAAGACTTCAAGTCATTAGCTTTACATCTGATTCTGACACTTAACAAAGCGCAACAAACTGTAAAAAATTGCTCTACAGACTAGTGTGTTTATAAGTGCGTTAATAAATTAAAATAATTTGAAAACAAATAGTTTACAACATCCAGCAGCACAATGAACGGTTTTTGCACAGCTAAATAAAAACTGGAGACTGCTGACACCGAAAGCCTCGAAAGTTCAAAATGCTCTTACATTCAAAATAAGCTGGAAAGATATTTAAAAAATGAATAATTTCCGTGGCTCTAGTCTTCTGTTTGTTTGAATCAGGTCTCGTCTGTTGGAGTAGAATTGGCTAGTGCGGCGCTGTCACAAAAAACTAGGTATCGCAGGAATTTAGTATTGGCATTCAGAGGCCTTTATACCGGGTATTATATAATAATATATGTCTTGTGAAATTAATTTGATGTGTTCTGAACAAAAAAAAAGCCCTTATTTAGATAAAACAGTAACAGTGAGAAAGTTGTTTTTATATATGACATTTCTTTATTTTTTCATCAACAATTTCATCAACCGACAGAAAAAGGTCAGAGTTACAATACATTAGAGTCGGAAAAACACTTAGCCTACTCCTCATAAATAGACTTGAGCTTTAGTTTACTGCAGTCTGGTTTGTTATTATTTGGTTTAATTTTTTTTGTATTCACCTGAAAATGATCAGGGAGACATTTGTTTTTAAATTTATCACAGGCAAGAATAACATGCTGTTTCTGACGTTTGACACTTTTGACTATTTTATTCTTACGGTCAATGTTAACAGTGATGAAGGAAAGAGACTTCTTGCTGATGCAGAGGTTGCCCTTATACATCTTTCCTCCTGATGAACACACAGCTGTCACATTGTTTTTTTCACTGAAGGGAAAGAATGACTGAACTGGCCTGTCCCAGGTGCCGATTTTGTTAATGAACTTCTTCCAGTTCTCTACTTTCAGATCAGTTGGTGTGTCGTTGCGTACGTGCCGCTTAAGAAAAGTGTTGTGACCATTCTTGTTTTTTGCTTCAGTGCAGGGCTGAGACGGGTGCAGGATGTCCATCTCACTCAGACAGGTGTGGAGTACGAGATTCAAGATGATCACTAATGACAGCATTTTTAGAACCTAAGAATGTTTGTAAAATCAAAAATGTGAAAAAAGTTACATATATGATATGTAGAAGAAATTACAGATGCCACTATAGACCAACTCTAATCATATAACAGTTACACAATCTCTTATGATACATAGGCTACATATCTATTCAATGCATAATTAGGAAACAGTACATTACCATATTGTGAGAAGTGTACCATCACAACAGGCGCAGTCAGACCTTTACTGACTCACTTCTGTTCACTTCTGGTCTTGAATCAGAAATGGGTAGCCCATAATGAAGTCAACAGGAAGTGGGACACCATCATTCTTTTTTTATTAAGCATCTTGTTTTTCTTTAACTCTTTCAGTTTAATTCAATTGATATGTTGTGCTTTATATATAAATGTGAAGCAATATCAGCCAATGCAGTGCAAAGATTATACAATAGGCCAATGCACAGTACACAAAACTTGCAGTTTCATGACCTGATACAAGATTTCTTCACACACAAACGGTTCGTTAAATCATCGGCCTTTATCTATATGCACTGAACGTTCAGGTCTCACTATCGATATTTTGACATTAGTGAAATTTGAGTGTGCTGTGTTCATTCCGATATGTATTGGAAGATGTAACACTGACAGCAGTAGTGTTTAAATAAAGAACAAAAAGCAGACATAAACCCTCAGATTTTTACAGGAGGATATTTGGCAGTACTATTGTCATAACAGGATGAAGTAGATAACACATGGTATTTGTGAGAAGTATTTTTGTCCACTCAAATGCTATCTGTCAGATCTTTAACTCCGCTGATTCACTTTCTTTGTGTGGTTTATGATTAAATGAGGTCATCAGGAAGTGGGCTGTCTAGTCTTTCTTTACACTCTTTCATTTAATTTCAGATGTCATTTTAATATTTATATTTAAAAAAAATAATTGTGCAGATTTTCTTTTTGTTAAAAAAGTTGCCTTTTTATGAAACAAAACATTCAAGTGTCAATAAAAAAGGATGCATGAAGCTAGAATAAAATGTTTAAAATGGTAAGAGTTAAAGTAGTTATATTTCAAGTATCAACAAATTATAAATAGGAACATATATACTTAAAGTGCAAAAATAATATATAAAAAGTAAATTATAAATATGATGTTAAGAAAACATACAAGTAGCCTATACTTGCAGTATAAAAATGTTAAATGAGTTTAGGCCTACTTCAAAGTGTACTTTCATAAACTAAAATAATGTACAGTAGTAGTATTAAAATACTAGTATACTTATAGTACACTTAAACGTATACTTTTTATATATTAAAGTGGGCCAATTTAGTCCCAAGCAGACTTGACTTGACTTGACTTGACTGTAGCACAGCAGGAAAACACAGTGTACATAAGACGACGAACCAGCACAGGACTGAAAACACAAGGAGAATAAATAGGGAGCAAACAAGGCAGGTAATGAGGGAGGACAGGTGGGGCAAATAAATCCATAATCAGGTAACAAGATGGGAGGGGCTAGACAATCGACAGGAGAGCACATGGCACAAGGAAACACATGACAAGCCATGTCCTCACACCAAACGAGACATGAACACACAGCTAATGAAAACACTCATAAGCCACGTGTTCACACAAAACATGACAACATGAAAGCACACAGCCAGTGTAAAACACAAGCTGTGTGCACAGCACAAGACAAAACATGAAAGCACGCGGCCGATTAAAACACAAACCGAGTGCTACACAGGACACAACAACACATGTAGACGGAAGAGCGCGCGGCTCAAGCGAACTCGAAACCGCGCTCTCACGTAACAAGACAAAGCACACGAGAACGAGCGAAAGCTCATTCCGTGCGTTCACAACAGAAAATAAACATGCGGAGCATGGATGTCTGAATCCCGACACAGAACCGAAACCAAACTAGACAGGCGTGTCGGGATCCAAACACCATGCCTCACACATATAACAAGGCACGTAGACAACCTCGAAACCGCGCACTCAGACAAAGACGAGACAAAACCGGGAGTGTCAGAGCTCTGTCACAAAACCAAGAAATTAACTAGACCGAAGTGACAGAACCCTGACACGTAGTCTACTAATACTTTAATGGGAGTTAGTTGACATGTAGTTGCAAAGATACTTGTAGACAGTAGAATGTCTAAAGTGGACCATCAAAATACAGTGTTGCCACAGATTGGTTCAAAGCAGTAATAAACAGGACAATTCCAATCAATGTGTCAGGGGTCTGTCACTCCAGTTGGGTTAATTCATAGTTTGGTGACAGAACCTTGTGTAAATATGCCCAAGCAATTTAAACTGCTTTCATTTGAAAGACATGTTTCTAGCATCTGTAAAACCACATTCTTCCATCTTAAAAATATATCTAAATTATGACATATGCTTTCAATGAAAAATACGGAATACGGACATGCAACAGAAACTTTTAACTCTCTCTTTTCCAGCACTTTAGACGCAGTTGCTCCGTTGCGCTTAAAGAAGATTAAAGAAAATAGTCCAACGCCGTGGTACAACGAGCACACCCAGGCCCTTAAGAGAGCAGCCAGAAAAATGGAGCGCAAATGGAAGAAAACTAAACTAGAGGTATTTCGGATTTCATGGAAAGAGAGCTCGATTGCTTACAGAGATGCCTTAAAAGCTGCTAGATCTGCTTATTTTTCAACCCTATTAGAAGAAAATAAACACAATCCTAGGTATTTATTTGAAACAGTGGCTAATCTAACGAAAAAGAAAGCTTCAACCCCAGAAGTGTCCAAGAGACACAGCAGTAATGACTTTATGAACTTCTTCACTTATAAGATCGATAATATCAGGGACAAAATTATAACTATGCAACCGTCTACCACAGTATCGCATCAGGCAGTGCATTGTAGTCTCCCTGAGGAAAAATTTGATTCATTTGTTGCCATAGGAGAGGAACAATTTTCTAAACTCATGAATTCATCTAAATCGACAACTTGTATGTTAGACCCTATACCGACTAAGCTACCGAAAGAGATGCTTCCAGATGTCATAGATACTCTTCTTACTATCATTAATTCGTTTTTGTCTCTAGGATATGTACCAAAAACCTTTAAGCTGGCTATGATAAAACCGCTTGTTAAAAAACCGCAACTTGATCATACAAAATTAGTTAGTTACAGGCCGATCTCGAATCTGCCTTTTCTATCAAAGATATAAAAAAAAAACACTATCCTCACAACTGTGTTCCTTTCTTGAAAGAAATGATATCTGCGAGGATTTTCAGTCAGGATTCAGACCGTACCATAGTACCGAGACAGCTCTCATCAGAGTCACAAATGATTTGCTCTTATCATCCGATCGCGGTTGTATCTCTCTATTAGTGTTACTTGATCTTGGTGCGGCATTTGATACTATTGACCACAACATTCTTTTAAATAGATTCGAAAATTATGTTGGCATTAGTGGAATTGCATTAGCATGGTTTAAATCATACTTATCTGAGCGTTATCAGTTTGTAGCAATAAATGAAGATGTGTCTTATCGATCACAAGTTCAGTATGGTGTACCACAAGGCTCAGTACTAGGACCGTTGCTGTTCACTCTGTACATGCTACCATTAGGAGATATCATTAGGGAACATGGAATTAGTTTTCACTGTTATGCCGATGATACTCAGCTGTATATTTCTTCAAAACCTAACGAAACTTACCAATTCACAAAATTAACGGAATGCATAGCTGATATAAAAAATTGGATGTCTAGTAATTTCCTACTACTAAATTCTGAAAAAACAGAGATTCTAATAATTGGACAAAAAACTTCCACACGTAATAACCTAGAATACTGTCTAACACTTGATGGCTGCTCTGTTAAGGCTTCGTCGTCGGTTAGGAACCTGGGTGTGCTCTTTGATACCAATCTTTCATTTGAAAGTCACGTGTCTAGTATCTGTAAAACTGAATTTTTCCATCTTAAAAACATATCTAAATTACGCCATATGCTCTCATTAACAAATGCAGAACAATTAGTTCACGTGTTCATGACATCAAGACTAGATTATTGTAATGCTCTACTGGGTGGTTGCCCTGCACGCTTAATAAACAAACTACAGCTAGTTCAAAACGCAGCAGCTCGAGTTCTTACCAGAACCAGGAAATATGACCATATTAGCCCGGTTCTGTCAACACTGCATTGGCTCCCTATTAAACATCGTATACATTTTAAAATATTGTTGATTACTTACAAAGCACTAAATGGTTTAGCTCCGCAGTCCTTGAGCGAGCTTTTAAAGCATTATAGTCCTTCACGTCTATTGCGATCTCAAAATTCCGGACAGTTGACAGTCGACTGCAGGCGGTAGATCCTTTTCCTATTTAGCACCAAAACTTTGGTACAGTCTTCCTACCATTGTCCGGGAAGCAGACACACTCTGTCAGTTCAAAGCTAGACTAAAAACACATCTCTTTGACCTAGCATACACATAATACATTATAGACTTCTATAATTCAATGTTAGGCTGCATAGATTAGGTCAGCCGGAACTGAACACTTCCCTTAAATCCTGATGTACTCGTTACATCATAAGAAGAATGGCATCTACACTAACTTTAGTGTCTTTGTTTATCCCGAGGTTTTCCCGCAGCCTGCTGGATCCAGGCCGTATCCAGATCTGACGAAGGAGATTCGCCTGGACCCGATGACAATGCAGTGCTGAAGTGTCAACTATCCTCTCCCTATGGAGGATCCCTTTCCCACTCTACAGATAAAGCGTTGTTGAAAATCCGGTTCGCGTACCCCGAAGTGATAAAATAAAACAAAATTCTTTATCAAATGTATAGGCAAGACAAGTAGTTTGTTTAGGCATGGTTTGTAGGGAAATTACAAACCTGCGCACATATATTCAAACGAATATAACTATAGAATCAATTTTTAATGCGCATGTAACGCATGTGAACGCCATCAGGTCACAGGTTCGCGTTTTAAGTCTGTTTAGAGAGAACGCCGTCGTCTTAGTGGCCCCTAATGTAATAACAAATGATAATTTTGCTAGAAGTGAATCAATCAAAACTAACTTTAGCTGGAAATAACATTATTCAAAAATCGCTATAAAGCCAAAACAATCTCTGTTACCGTAAATTGTATGTTTATATCTGTAAAGCTGCTTTGAAACAATCTCCATTGTTAAAAGCGCTATATAAATGAAGATGACTTGACTTGACGAACAGGTCGAGGAACAGGAACAGGACTTGGGACAGGCTCTGACGTGGCGGCGACCATTC